TCAAAAGCAGAAATTTCCTTGAAAGTTAAGCATGAGAATTGGAGCCCACAGTGAGGAGGGTAGAGCTATGCTGTTATGGCCTGGACTGTGTCCCCCCCATATTATCTGTTGAAGTCCCCACCCTCAAAGTGACTGTATTTGAAGACAGGGTTATTAGGAGGTAAGCAAGGTTAAATAGTGTCATATGGATAGAGCCTGATCCAATAGGATTGGTGGCTTGAAGACGATGAAGAGAGTCAGGGAGAGAAATTAGATTCATATGCTAGAATATTGTGCTATGATGAAAAAGAGTGAGACACCATGACATGCCTGTGACTGTTCTTGAGTGGTTTGCACATCTGTTCTCCGTACCACTGGAGAATCCACAGACACAGGTTGTTTTCATAGTTTGCATCTCTGTTGGCTCCTGTCTGTGTTTGGCTGATAGAAAGCTCTGGCAGGAAATTTGAAGGGTGGTGCTTCTGATAACTTCTCTGTCTCCTCAGAGCTTGAATACCACCAGACAGAACGACCTTGCTTGTGCGTCTAGCTTTCTGCAGGTGAGCCAAGTTCCTGACTCTTCACTTTAATCCTCTAGGATGGGGTAAAAGCATTATGCATTTCCTCATCTCTTTGCTGGTTCGCCATCTGTTTGACTTCTCAACTGTTCTCTAAGTCCATGAACTAAGTGCTGTCTTTTGCAGACCTCAGACACAATGCTGATCTAAAATAGGAAAAAAGTAAAATGACAACGCCCCCCCCAACCCCCCTTTGGGACACTAGAGTATGCTCTTTTCCATGATGCATGGATTATCTATCCATAAACATGTGCTTGCATATAACGAACTCTTCCTGAAAGATCAAACAAGATCTCCAGCAGTGGTAGTTTTTGCAAAGAGGAAGAAAAGGTAGAAGTGAAGTGGAGATGGTTGCTCCACCATCTCAGTGTTAACACTAAGAATTTTTACCTTACATATTTGAAAAAGTCTAAACCTAGTTAAGCTAATAAAAATATCTTTGCATTTCTGCTGTGCTTTTTAGTTTAAGAGGGCTTTCTCTAGCATGTCTATGCTTAGATAGACCTATGGCTCTGAGAATTTGGTAGAGTGAAGTTCAGTGAATTTCCACCTCACAGAGATGATAGCCATCATGTCACGCCCATTCAGCCCTCTGGGATATCCTAAGATCCTTTGGATAAAGACCAGAATCTATCATACTTTGCTGTTTGTCCACTGTCCACTCACATCTCTAGCCTCTTCTAGTCCATGGGATGCCTTGCTGTTCATGCACTGGCCCTGCGAGGCTTACTCCCTTCTACCTCAAGGCATATAGACACCATAGCTTCCCTGTTCAATGGCTCTTCCTCTTCTCCCATTTTCTCCCCACCAGTCAATTCACTCTTTTTACAGAAAGCTGTTAAATACCACACTGGACCAGGATGCCTACTGGGTCTCATTTTTTTCCCATGCAGCACAAGTCTTGCCTATATTTACATATTTGTGAGATTGTTAGATTCATATGGGTTTTCAATGAGCATATTATTTTAATAAATGAATGACAATGCTGGAATCACTGCCATTGAGAAAGAAACAGTAACTAGTGCCCACTGATACCTGACTTACATTATTAGCAGATCTTTCAACAATTGATGACTTAATCAGAAAGCACTTCAGCTATACAACTTTGCCATTTTGTACATTATTTTTAAAGCAAGTATACATCCATATTTGCACACCAGTCTACACCTTAAAAGTCAAGTAGCTTTGATTAGAATATTAATAGAGTTAAAACCATGTTTGTCAGAGAAGAAACTGACAAATGCTAATAAAATACAATAAACTTAGGAAACGAGCTACATGATGCTTCTCCTTTTTTCCTGAACCTAGTTAAATTTCATTTTAATAACAATGAAATAACAAGGAATATGTTCTTGTTCTTCAAGTTAATAACTTTACAGATAAAGAACTTCAGAGCTCATATTTGCAATTTTCAGGTGTGAGAGCTTAGGTGTAAGATAATCTAGACACTTGATCAGTCCCTGCAAAGCCCACTGCATGCCTTGTCTCCCAAATGACCTAAATCAATTCCTGTCCTGAGTTTCAGGCATTTTCATTATGATGATGATGATTATAAATGGCCTGCTGTAGCAGGTGCTTCGCTGCTGTGCTAAAAAGATGAAGTGTTTTTTTCCCTGGTTGCTCCCAAAGTGCAGGACCCATTTCTCTAAGCCATAGGAGTAGCTGAAATGGAGGCAGCGACAATCAGAAATATGGGCTGTGTTCAACACTGGGCATAATTCAGAGGAATTCAGGCAAGAGAGGTGGAGGGTTATCTGATGTGATGTCACCTAGAAAGTCAGCATCACACATATCTAGTGCTCAGAAACAGGAGGTTACATTTATGGGACACTGTTTAATGCCAGTGATGGCCTCTGCCAAAGAGGGAACTGTCACCAGAAGATGAATGTAGTTGGCCAAGTTCATGTTCAAATGCCCTCCCTCTTGGTTTCAGTCCTAAATCCCTAGGTCTATTCCAATCCAAGCTTAAGATGAACTCTAGCTTGGAGACTTCGAGATTCATTGCCCACAGTAACGGGTCACATGGGAAGACCCAGGAGATTGGCCAGACTGTGCCATGAATATAACAAATGAAATGACCAATAACTGCTAGTGTCTGTCTGTTTCTTGTCAGCGGATGATTAATCTATGGCCCACTGTTGGCCTCTGAAATACACAGTCAACACATAGTCTTCTCTGTGACTCTAGATAAATTTCTCAAGATTACAGCTAATTTAATTACCTACCCCCAACACACACACACACACACACACACACCCCACACCACCCCAATACCACTATTACTGTTATTTATTAAATAGTTACTCAGCAACAGACACTGAGCTAATAGCTTCAAGGAATACCTTGGGAAAATACATGATTCCTGTCCTTAGGAAATTATGTCTAGATTCACTTTAGGAAACTATGTCTAGATTCACTTGGGCTCATATAAATGTCCTTATGAAAACCTCAGATAAAAATAATAGCAATTAATGAGCTAGCAAATAATGAGTATTACTTGACACTGTTTGGAGTGTTTGATGTGCTTTAGCCAATGTCATCCTCATGGTAACTTCATAATTCTCTACGGTGGGTACAAATTTTATCTTCATTATGCAAACAAGGAAACCAAACCAGAACACAAATAGATTAGGCAACTTGCCTTATGTTAGAGTTAGTATCTAATATTTATTTAATGTTCACAATTAACGATTAACACCATCTATGTCACTGTTTTTAAAAATGCATTTTCTTGCTTCTTTCCACATTTCTGTAATATCACTGATTTTATCTTACTGATGAGTGAACTCAGCATAGAGAGGCATGAAATCTTCCCAGGGTTAACATGTAGGACTCAATCCTTGATCAGTTTGTCCAGTTTGACTCCAGTATATTGGCATTACATTATACTAAGAAAAAAATTCCTTTGAATAATACCCTAGACAAATATTACCCTAAAAAACAATAACACTGCCAGTTATAAAGTATTTTACTACTAATATTTGAATAGAGTCCCACAATAACTCTAAGTGTTAGTAGCTCAAGTTGTGGATGTCAGATGGAAATTCAGAAGTTCAGGGGTGAGTCTGGAGTCACACGGTTTTGTCCTTGCTCATGGACCTTCATTATTTATGAATTCACTTAAGAAACAACCATGCTGTTAAGTTCTTCCACTGGAGAAACAAGATGAATGCGATCCTCTGTCTTCTGTAATTCACAGTCAGAGCAAAAGAGCTGACTTTCTCTCTTAACTATTTTTTACCCCATCTCTGGATTCACTTTGAACTAGGGGTGGAAGAGGTCCAATGAAGGGGTAGATGCTTGAGGGAGCAATACTGGTGATCCATGGAGTATACACCTCCCCTCTTGGTAGATGGGGTGATGGGGGGAGCTTCCCAGTTCTTCCTCTTCTACTCCTTCAACTCTGGTGAAGGATAGAACATGGCTGTTCAAGAGACAGACCCTTAAATATGAGGCCCTGACGCAGAACCTGGTTTTCAGCGACTGTTTGACCATGCTGGCAGAGAGTAGGGTGCCAATCAGAGCTAATTGATGATCTGTACTCCTGGCAAGGGACTACATTCAGAAGTCATGGGGTTCAACTTTGAGACATGCAGCTCCCTGGAGTAGGTGAGGAATGCAAAAACCCTTTATTGCAAAGCACCAAACTGTCAACAGCTATAGGGCCGTGGAGAGATCTTGAAGAAGAAACTCTAAAAGTTCAATCTGTAGGACACTAAGTAGGGTACACAGAGCTCTCTGATGATGATGGGTTGGTGAAGAAAATAGTAGTCAAGCTACCCCACAATCTGTAAGGATTTTCCTGACAGAGGCAGGATTTTTCCGCTGCTGATTCTCTCTGCTGTCTCTCACCAGAGGGCAGATAACAAGAAGTGAAAGAGGAAAAGCTCGGGCTTAGAACCCGAGTAGGAGAAGTTCCTTCTTCTACAGGGTCCATGTAACGTTGGAAATGACTGATTGCGCCCACCCCAACAGCGCTCTGAGAAAATGCGGTGCAAAAACAAGAGACCTTGTTATTCCAGCTCTCAGAACCCACAGGGCAGGGGTCAGACAAGAGGGGGATAAAGTGTCTGGGACGCACTCCAGGCTGCACCCGGATCTTGGCTGAATCGGACGCCCAGGGTGGAGGAGACCGGCGCAGCGGCTGCCCAGCCATGCCCAGCCCTCCCACCGCTGGTGGCGGCTGCCAGGACGGCGGCTGCTAGCGGGAAGGGGCCGGTAAACCTCAAAGCAGTGCGGAGACAGCAGCCGCCTTGTTCCCTGGCCGGGTGACTTTTTTTTCCACCCTCCCAGAGACCAGACACCCCCGCCCCACCCCTGACCCCCCACCTCTCCGGGCTATTCCGTCCCCTCCCCGGGCTCTGAAAGTGTTAATAACCCTGGAGCTTTACGCATCCTTTCCTCTCCACCCCCAAGCCCCCGCCCTCTCACTCTCCCCTAACCCCCACTCAGGGTTCCTAAAAAAGAAAGGTGCAAAGTTTGGTCCAGATAGAGAGGGAGAAATCAAAGCCAAGCCGACACTTCCTGTCGCCCGGGCTCTATATAAAACGTGATGAGCGCACGGGCTGCGGAGTCGCCCCGCAGCGCTCGCCCAGCAGCCGCCGCCTCTTCCGAGCGCTTGAGGTTTCCCGGGGACCACAATGAACAAGCTGCTGTGCTGCGCGCTGGTGGTAAGTCCCAGGCCGCGGGGCCGCGAGCGCGGGCGCCCCGGGCGCATGGAGAGGCTGCCTGCCCCTGCGCCCCGGGCCTCCCCGCGGATTCAGGGGGACAGAGGTCATCTCGCTCCCATCTCCCAGGAGGGATTTGGGGTCAGGTTGGCACAGGATGCCTCTTTCAAGCTACTTCTCTGTCCCTTTCCACTGGAAGTTTCAACTAGGTCTATGGAGAGCAGAAATCAGCTCCAGCCAGGTCTCTTATGGGTGACTGGATTCTATCCATTTTTTCACTGTTGTTATTCTAAGGGTTTTAACCCTTCATTTAGTTCATACTTTTAGTTAACTTGTATGTTGCCGTTATTACTGGCTATTAAGTGCTCGCTTAGGATCAAAATAAATTGGCAGGAGATGTCAACCTTCTTGAAACTTATATTAGGGTAAAATTTGAATGCAGCAAGTATGATAGGATACATCATTAAGTTCATTCCTCACTTACGTGAATCTTTATGGAAGTTTTGAATAATTAGCACCAGAAAATGGATCTCACACACATACACTTGCTATCTGTGAAGTTTAACAGTTTAATAAATTATTATTATTAAAATGGGTTATTCTAGCCCACAACCTCAATATACCGTGGAAAATATTAGTGGGTTAATGTTGGTTATGTTCTAATATATATCCAACAACATAGGGTGAAAAGTTATTTTTAACATACCAATTGGAAAAGAAAGGAAACTTTTTGACTTAGCTTAGCTTCTTTTTTTTTTTTTAATTTGGATTTTGACCAATCAAGTTAATAAGATTCATGTGTGGATTATTCTATGACCAATGATTTATTTCAAATTTATTTATTTCCTCCAATGATTTATATCACTGGAGTGTGGATTACATTGGTATATGAATCAGACATTCATGGAAGGGTAGGAGAACCCACATTTAAGCCACGTGTATGTTTTGAGCGTGTTGGAATAAAGATTTGAATTTCTAATCAGCCCCATAAATAGTGAATGGAAGGCTAAGAAGCCTTCTAGTTAGTTCTCAGCATAAACAAACATGAATCAGTTTAGCGAATAGCAACATCACTGAAGTAAAACTAGGTTGGAAAGTTTCTCAAAGAGAATATCAGTGAGTTAGCACCCAGATCAAGAAATACTCCATTTCCAGCACCGGGGAAGTTCCCTATGCTCCCTCACTACTTGGCCAGAGTAATCAATATTCTGACATCTAACACCATAAATGAAGTTTGCACATATTTGAACTTTTTATAAGTAGACTTTATGTACTTTTTTTGCTTCTGGTTCCTTTCACTTAGGTTCTGTTGTGAGATCATCTTCACTGTTGAATGCATAATAGTTAATCAGTTTTCATTGTTGTATAGTATTTCACAGCATAACTATACCACACTTGATTTAGTCATTTTAGTTTTTGACTAGCATAATAATAATCTTGCCACCAATATGGAGGTATGCAGTCTTCCCAATCCTTTGTATTTAGTGAGAGATTTAATTATAATAAATACATTATTGGTGACTTGAATTTCTGAATTTCCATTAAATAACATGTGCACCCAATAATAAATTAATCAAATGTTTTGAAATGTGTTCTGTATAAAGCACTAGGTATGTGTATAAATACTACTAATTATAGATGATGGCACATTATCAAAGAGAAGATGTTATACATGTCGTGAACATGAGGAAACACTTTAAATAGGAAAGATTTCCCCTTTTCAGTGGTTTCTGAGATTGACTTCATTTTATAAATAATTGGAAATGGACACTTTGTACTTCTACACAAAGAACCCAACATTGTCCTTTTGTAAATGCAGAGGCACAGTTCTAGAAGGTGGAAGCACTGCAGTTTCTTTGTACTTGGCATCCCACTAGACAGTAGGGACAGAGTGGAAAACAAGATGGACACTATCCCTGTCCCCACAGACCTTACAGCCTACTGGGAAAGGCATATATTGAACAAATAACCGTATGTATGAGAGTCACAAAAGATCAAGTATTGAATGACTTGGTTATATGAAAGATGCTGCCCTCCAGGACCATTCAAGGCAAGCAGCAGTGAAGTGGTTAACAGTTTGGTTGCTTTGAACCAAAATTCAAATACTACTACTTCAATTTCCTAAATGACTAAAGGAAACTTAGATCTCTCTTAGGTTTTAGTTTTCTCTTCTATAAAATACGCATACATGCCAGATGCTCCATGTTAACTCCAGCTGCTCACATCCTGTCATGAATAATATGCCAGTAATCTAGAAGAAGTGCATTGTAGGAAGGACAGGCTGACAGTACTCCGAGGAGAGATGGCTATTAACTAGTACCTTGAAGGAGAAAGAAAAATGTTTCATTGTTGGAAATAAAATCAAGGTGTCTGAAACCTAAAAGGTGGGGAAAGTAAAATTGTGTGGCAATGGAAAAGTCTAGCTGCTTCTCTCGAGAGCAGAGAATGTGCTGGTAGGCAAGCAGAGAAGGGGAGAGGTCATTAAGACCAAACTTTCCTGGAGAGTTCATGCATGTACTGCAGTGGAGGCCTGCTTTATGAAGAGAGGTGGTTCGTTAGCAAGTCGTGTCCTTCACGGCTGTGGAGGAGCTACCTGAGCTGAAACATCCTGACCAAGACCTCCATTTTAACTGGTGACTGAAACTTTCCATCATATAGTGCTGCAACCATCCATTGTACTTCTCAAAGCTAAACTCAGAATGAATGTTCTGGTGCTAGGACTTGGAGTCAGGATTAGAGGAAAGAGAGCTAGAGGAAGTAGATACATTTTCTCCCGACAACTGCCTGATCTGTCTGTCCTCCCTTACAATAATGTTATTTCGGATAGTTTTTGTTATTGTTGTTGTTTATTTTGGTTTCCTTCTTCTCTCCCAGTGGTTGAATGTGTATTTGTCTGGCTTGTTTTGTTGTTTATTTTAAGAGAATGATCGCTGGAAAGTTTCTAGGAGAATCTGGCATTTACTCAGTTCAAAACAGTCCTGATCTCTTTCCCTAGCAACCTTCTGGCCTCTGTCACCTAGCAACCTTCAGCACAGTTCCTAGTTTCAATGGACTCTTTAATTTTACTTCTTAGGCTAAAACCATGGTTGTGAAATTCCTTTGGTTGGGGAAGAAAGCATTTGCACCAGATGTTTTATCCATTTACTTATAGAAGAAGACCTGTGGCTCTGTCATCACAGGATTACAAAATACACACAGATAAGCTCACTTTCTTGACCACAGACATGTCCCCTGGACTGTGTTCTAAGCAACCCTCATCCCTCTGCCTGCACCTTCTCTTTCCTAAAAGCTTTCTGAGTATTATTTTCTTTAGTAGCTCATTAACGAAAAGCATTCCCTTTAGTCTGAATTTCTCCATTGCAGCCCTCCCCCAAATGACAGTTTATGGAAGAGAAAGAGTGATCATTGGGTTATTATGATAATTATCATATAATTATTATATTATATTTATATATGATATATAACATTATAATTATATATTATAAAAATTATTAGTATTATTATTGAAGTGACAGTGGTTAACAGCACTGTGGCTTAGAGGTATAGGATCCCACCTCTTTAGATGTATGTTACTATACCCCACCCACCACCAAGGTACCCATAGTCCATTGTGCCCCCTCCACAACCTGTGAGCTTATAAAAATTTATACTTGTATTATTCAAGGCCTTAACTAAGAATGCCTGGCCAGCCATGATGTTGCTACTACAGAGCAGAGATGCTGAAATTATCAACCTATTTATATGCTGTATTCCATAAGACTATAGTCTTCATTCATTGCAGACTTCTCCCAGGCACAATTCTTTGTAAACACCCCATACTCTCCTGCAATGACTATTAGAGTACATGTATTTTACCTACACACATTAGTTTTAGAAATCAATATACTGGCATAAGTATACTATAAAGAAGAAATAAAAGGAAAGTATTTTATAAGAAGATAAGCTTCATGAGAGACATAATGCAGTATTGATATGTAACATCTTTCTGCAGAATGGCCATGAACTGGCCATGAAGAACAGGGACTGGGCCATGTGTGTTACTCAGAGGCATAAAACAGTACGATCATGTATCAACTTTTCTGTCATTAAATTTCTGGAAAATTCAGTATGTATACAAGTCTTTCCACAGAAACTTTGTGTATATATAACATGGAGTTAGGAGCTAGGCACAGTTAATGATAAGTTTTTTTTTTTTTTTTACTAGATCAATTTTATTTAGTAGATCATTTTGTAAATAGGACATTTGAAATGTGTGTGGGGGGGACATGAGATTATTCTTAATTGTTCAGGATATCTAACAGCACACAGTCACTGTGACAACAGAAACCCCCCCATAAATTTCCAGAACTTCTAGGAGATTGTACCATCCAAGTGGTAAACAAAGTATGAGCTCTTTGCAAGCATAGATTTTCATTTTATTCATTTTTTCAACCCCCAGGTACTCCCAGTGCTTGAAACTCAGTGTGTGTTTGCCAGGTCAAAGGAACTATAAAGAGATTTGCTAGGATGTGGACTCATTTACCAGGAGTTTCTGTGGCTAGTTGGACAGAATGTAGCTTACCCTTAAAGATACAACATTGCAATGTGGACTTCCCTTTCTTTTAGAATATAAATACAGCATCCTTCCCACCTGACCGATGCTTTCAATATTATTTTGTACATTTCCACCATGAACGCTCATGACCACCTACATAAACACCCATTCTTACGCATGCAATGAAAGTAAACCAGATTCATATCTTGACCCTCAGCAGCGCTACCTCTGCTCAACTGATCCACTTCCTAACTGCCATTGGATTAGTTTGGGCATTAAGTTTTCATTTTGTCTGACAAATTTTTTTGTAAAATAGCCCAAAAAGGTTGCCGAGTGTATGTTTGAAGTCAGGAAAGTCCAGGACATAGGATAAGCCTGCATTGGAGATAAAAATTCTGGGTCATCATCCTGGGACAGGGTTTTGAAATCATAGGGAAGGATGATTTCATGTGGCAGGAGTTGAAAGAGA